AAGGGTTCACGAGGGCCGTCTCCTGGCCACGGTCTGCTGCGACGGCGGTAGAACCGCAACAGGCAGGTTCAGAAAGCCTCTCTGACCGCGGTTCTGCCGCGACCGCGGTAGAACCGCGGCAGGCAGCGTAATCTTCTGAAAAGACACCTTTTCCAGACACCTCTTCTGATAATTGCCTATAAATTTTGAGGCAAGGCTCCATTTTCTACACATGAAAAACACTCCAGAACCTCTTTCTTTCTGAATATACTGCATCCTAATTCGCAGTCTCTCTCTCTCAGATTCGTAAGTGTGATTTTGCTCCGTTCTTTGAGTTCGTTGGTATCCTGCAGTTTGTATTGCCACCGTTGCAGGAAGGTTTATTCCGTTTTATCCTGGGAGGATTTAATCCATTACCTTGGCAACGTGTGAGGGGGTTAAAATTCCTTAAGGACACACAAGAAAATTGTGGACTCGGAATATTTCTTAAAATCTTCTGTTTTTCCAGTTTCTTTTATTTTTCTAACAGTTTTTCCTGATTTTGTGTTTTAACACAGTAGCGCTCACAATAACCTATATTGGACATCCTTTGTCGAGGAATTTTTTTCACTACTTTCAAGTTTGAATATCTTTATCGAAATTTTTGGCTTTGCCACTGATAAGGACCACCAACAACAGCAGTACCTAACCACAACTTATGATCCGCCATAAATCCCTTCTTCCCCCATACCATTTATGCCTCCAACATAGTAGCTGTGTTTTCTTTGACAACGCCCATCAGAACTAGAAACAAATACTTTTAGCTCAAATATCCCTTTGCTAATATGATGAATATGGAACTGAAGTATTCATCTTATGGTTTCTATAATGGTTCCACAAACATCACTCCTGAAGATGGCGAGTATCAATCAAAAGTACTTCCACATGCACGCAGTAATGAAGAACATAGCTATGATGACATGAAGGGTAAATCAGGCTTAGGAAATCTCAGTTTTTACAACCTGTCAAAACTCATTCTCCCTCCTTTAGGTTCCTCTGGTTATAACCAGAATCAGAATCAGAAAGGCAACACTATTTCTCCTATGACTTCAAGATACAGGTAATTATATTTGTGAAAACAAAAGTGTCTGTCTCTTTCCCTTTGTCTTTTTTGGTGAACAGTTTTGGCAAAATAATTGCAAAATTAAACAAAAAGGGAAAATTAAACGGCTACTAAATTTGAATCAATGTTTGGTGCCACTTCTTTCTATTATTAGATTAACATTAGTTTGTTACTAGAAGTAGAAGTATTTATTCTCAAACTAAGGTGATATTCGTCATATAAGATTATCCTGATTGACATTCAGAAACAAGTAATTTTCAATGAAAACGTCTCTTCCATATATAGGTCATCTTGACCATATATACTTGGAAATAATTTGTTTGATAGATAAGTTTAGGTTTTATGCATGATACCCAATGGTGAATCTAGAAATTTCTCCAAGGGTGTTCAAATTTAAGAAAAGTGAAAAACATTCCCAACAAAGAATGTTCAAAATGTATTATATACTTATAAAACGTAATATTTTACCTATGTACACAGTATAATTTTTCGACGAAGGGTGGTCAATTGACCACCCTTATGACCATGTGGCTTCGCAACTGATGATACCGGAAAAAATATTTTATATGATCAGGAAGATATTAATTACAAATAAATTCTATGACAAGTATAATTGATAACTAACCAGTTATTATATTGATCGTCCAAATATTTTTATTACGTTTTGAAACATGGATGGATTTTATGCAGGTGGTGGGAGACAGTAATGGTGCTACTGGTGGCCTATTGTGCATGGGTATGTCCATTTGAGATAGCGTTCATGAAGTCCAATACAAACAAGGAATTATACATAGCAGATAATATTGTCAATCTCTTTTTTGCGGCTGATATCATCTTGACATTCTTTGTTGCCTATATCGATCCAACCACTCAACTTCTAGTTCGCGATCCAAGAAAAATTGCCACCAGGTATTCTTTTCTTTTTCATTTTTAGTTTTACTAGTATCAGGGTACGCGCTTTGCACGTGTACCCTATATCAATGAATATATAATTTTTTTAAAACACGATAAAATATTAAATAATGTGAGTTATTGAATAAAATAAAATAAAAAGTATAAGTTCTTAATTATGATGAACATTGATCCTTTTTAGCCGTTAGCTCGATAAATAAACAATAATATAAAATCTTAAAAAGTACTCTAATATTAGAGTTAATACTTTATAAAAAAAAATAACATAACTATAGGAAGCTGTCATTTATTAGAATGGTTATAAAAAGAAAAAAAAAAGACTTCATATGTAGGTTATCATACGAAAATTTTAATCGAACGGTCATATAAAAAATAAAATAAAGGTCACCAAAAATAAGGTAGAAAACCAATGTTTATTGTTATTTTATTATAATCATTCAAATTTTAATTGATAAAGTTATTTTTTTAGTCCATTGAATTATAGTAAAAGAGAAACGATAGCTGAAACAATGATAATATCACAATGGAAGGATATCACAATGGAAGTTTAACTTTGCTTTGAATAGCAAATACGCACGTTAGTTTTGATTTAATAAATATATTACACGTCATATAATTCTATATTTTTACATAGTTCAAATTAAGAAAAAATAATAAGTAAAATTTCAGCTAATTTTAACGTCCTAAAAGTAAAAAAATAATTAAATGATTATTTTGAGTGTAAAATTGATTTTAAATTAATTTTCTTGATTTCTTTTTGTACTTCTTATATTTGCCGAAGGATATCTAACAATGGAAATGTAGATTTTCTTTGGATGGAAAATTACTCACGTTAGGTTTGATAATTAATGTGTTACGTGTTGCCAAATATTATGACTTTTCACCTATATACTTCAAAAAAGAATTAAGGAAAGATATAATAAGAAAAATCTTAGGTGATTTTAAAGTCCTAAAAAAAATTAGGTGAAGTAATGAAATGACTAATTTGTCTAGTATGAAATCAATTTAGAGGGTAAAAAAGGCGAACGACATTTCGCTAAGGGCCTTCGTGCTTTTAATATAGTATAGATATAAATATAGATATAGATATAGATAGATAGATAGATTAAAGTTTATAATCACAAATTCTTTAACTGGCTTTGATTATATGGGAAATATGTTGCGTTTTGCAGTCCTAAGGTGGTGGAAATAATTATTTTCTTCTCTTTTTTGGGCCACCAAAAGGGTAACCGAAATATAATCCAAAAAAGCCGTGTAGCTAGTACATGCTAATTTGTATTAGCAATCTTAATTTTAAAAATAAAAAAAAAATAAAAAAAAAGTGAAAGAAGTTATTGTGGGTCCAAAGCATCTTCCAATTAGGTGGAAGCAAAATGACCAATCATAAATATATCAAAAGCTATTACAATCGAATAAATCTTATTGAACAAATTATCATGATATTCAAACAGAAATGTTAGAATCTATTTGATAAAAGTGTGAAGTAACGTGACAATTCGAATTTGAAGAAGTAGTAATTCTCTTCTTATCGTCAACGAATAAATTAAATTTGATCCTATTCAAAGAATCGTTCTTCCACCCACTAAGGGATCGGGTGCAAAGAAGTGAAAGAACCAACTTTTTTGTGTGTTCATAAAAATAGCCTCCTAACTTTTTTTTCTTTTCATTTTCCAAGATTTGGATATTCGAACAGTATATATCAATTATTCCCTCAATTATTGAGTGCGAATAATACGACCATAACCCACACCCCACTCCAGCCCACTCAACTCCAGAGTCCACCGCAAATGGGGGTAAAAAGAGAATTTAAGTTGTTGTAACATGTTATGTTTCTTAATTATTTTTAGGATATTAATTCTAGTTAATATGGACAATTATATGTAGTAAACCCTTGGATGACTTCATAACGTAATTTCTTTTTATAGTGTGGAGTAATATATAAAAGTTAATCAAAAATAAAAAATATTGATTTTGGAATATATCTTTTGCCTTTAATTACGTAAGTGGAAAGATAGCAGCATGAATCATGAATATGAAAAAGAAAATGCATGGAGCAAGGCATACTTTGTCGACTGATGAATCAAATTAGTTTAAATGATTGTTAATCAACTTTAGTCAAATAGTTTACTTATAGAGTCAATTAATGCGTTGACCCAGTGGCTAATACTTACGAGTCAACCCCTAAACTAGGGACAATTTAAGCTTATATATAATCGACTTTTTAAATTCTTATCTAAACTCGTCATTCAACAACACCCAAAAATAAGTACATATATAATCTATTGTTAAGAAATGCAAAAGCACTTTAATTTACTTTTTTCATGTAATTTAAATTAAATCATAAGCTAAGCAATTATGAATTACTCGTTTGTTTATTGGAGTACATTAAGTGCTGGAAAACATTTCTAACCAGATTGTAGCACCAGAAAACTGCCCCGTTATTGATTATTATTAAAATGGTAATAATTTGTTTGTATGGTTAATTATGAAACAGATACCTATCGACATGGTTTCTAATGGATGTGGCATCCACCATTCCATTTGAGGCTCTTTCCTTGTTGTTCACTGGCAAACATCAAATTGGTGTTTCTTACTCCATTTTAGGAATGCTCAGATTTTGGCGACTTCGCAAGGTTAAGCAATTCTTTACCAGGTTTCACTTTATTTACTTCCCTTT